TTACCCCAACCCAAAATCAGTGAAGTCAAAATCTAAATAACACTGCTGCATACATTGGCAGAAGCACATTCATATTCATTCTCTCTCCATCCATTTTGTTCTGAAAACCTTTCTTCGGAAACTCCCCTCTTGCTCATCCCATTGGTGGTGTCCCAACACCTACTGAAAAAAGATTTTCTCAGGGATTGCAGTACTATACAGGGCACCAAATATTATGTAATCAGCACTATAATCATAGTCAAATCCCAGGTGCATTACCATTTATCTCATGTTTTATAGAAACCAACAGCTGTTTTAACAGTTTCCTCTGCACAACAGTGCCATAGCATGGATATTTCCCTTTTGCTCAGTCTTTGGAACAGGTAGCCTAGGAAAAATCCTGCAGGATGACTACAGGGCCATCTCATATTCACAGACATAAAGTAGTGATTGTGTTGACAGAAAATAAATATAGAAATTCATCAGAACAGGAGGCCATGTCCTCCAGAGCTTTGTTAGGTCAGACATTATAATGGCAGGTTTGTGGTTCATAGTATCACCATGTGTGGTAATGTGCTGTATATTTTGTAGCCTCTCTCTGCTTTGTTTTCACAGACCCCTGGTACTGTGAGCACAGCACGCCACTGCCAGCATTTCAGATGAATCCCACCCTAGGCTAAAAAACATCTGCCCTCAGAGTTGTGAGGCACTTTGGAAAAGAATCCACCAAAAGTTATGTTAGGATAGCTACCACTGTACTCCACATACACTCTACATTATTAACTGTAGGGTTGTATTGAGACAATTACCGTTCCCAACATGAACTTTTTAGTTACTTCTTAATGCATAATTAAAGCTTAGTAAAGCTAATGGGAGGCTTCTTCACTGACTGTCAACTCCAATGTTGTACATGCAAAAAAATTCTCATTACAATGTCCAGCTGATTTGCTCTCTTACTAATTATGTATTTCACTCTTAAATTGTGATGAGGAAACTATTTGGTGTAGAGGTATTCCACTTAAATGTTCACAGATAGTCTGTTTATATGACTCACCAACTTTTGTATATGGAAGAAAGAAAGACTGGTCCTGTAAGCAGCAAGCAATTGTGTAGCGTGATTTAGTCACAGCTGCATGTTTTAAGAACAGATGGTGTTTAATGACGTGTGCCAACCCTGTTTGATCGTATTCATATCTTTAGCCACAGGACTAGGCTTTTGTTTTCTTATTTGATTTTATGTCTAATTTATCACACATATTTCATGTTTCAGATAATTTCACAATAAATTATTCAGTATGAATTCCAGCAGATCACTCATACACACTTCTATTTTGTGACATAAAGCATTCCCTAGCGCCTTACCCTAAACATAACCATCAGAACTAAATTGCTAACCATAACCCTAACACCTAACCGGAACCCTAAAACCAAGTCTTAACCCTCAAAAACGTGTTTCAGAAAGTGAGGACCAGCCAAAATTTCTAAAACTGTTCTCACTCTGTAGCAAAAAAAAACCCCCAAAAACACACATTTTTGGTCCTCTCAGTGCAGCAAGTACAAACACACACAAACACATACTCTGATACCAACAAGCAGACAGGATTGCTGTCACTCAGTCTAAGTTGTGCTCAGGTTGCAGGACTCCCAGTCTATCAGCAGGGATCTGTGGGGCTGTGGCTTTATGGCATGCACTCTCTGTCTGCTTGTCTGTCTCACTGTCTGAACCTTTTAAAAGTCATTTATAAATGTGTTCAAATTAACATTCTCTCTGAGTCATCTACACCAACACAGCTACTGCCTTTCTCCATTTTAATTATCTTAGATGTTGATGCCCCTCTGATAGTTTTTTCCGTTTTGTTCTTTTCTATCAGTTTTATCTTCTCTTTCTCACACACTCAGCCACTTATAAAGTTACACACACTACCCCTATCAGCATTTAGTCACTAATGGGTGTGTGTGTTTACTCTGAGTTGAGGAAGTAGTGATAATAGTGGCTGTAAAGTAATCTCACAACTGTTTACACTCATTGCTGGAACCTATCTCCTTCATTATCTACAGCCTAGCTTAGGTGTGCCTGTGTGTACAAATCTGTGTGTCTGGCTCCACGGCACATTATTAGTCAGAGCATTACAGTTCTTATAAAATAATGATTTTCATAATTGTCTGTGAAAGCTGGTGATGTTCTTAAAATGTCCAGGGTTTTGTCACTTTCTCAGCATTGTTATAGAAGAGCATTTTATGACATAATGTTTGATGAACTCTGAATGGATTCAAGATGCATCAGATACAAACAATTAAAGCAGCAGAAATGCTCAGGGTACAGAAGAAAATTTACATAGTTAGGTCATCTATGTAATGTCTGTCGCAGCTTAAGCCTCTAGGCTGCATTTCTATGCTTTTACACTCTGATTGCAGTTATTTGCAGCAATGTAATGCATTTCATATAAATCTCGGATTTCATATTAAACATCCGTCTATCCATAACAGCCATAAATATCCATGCATATAACATTGTTTCGGTGATGTAGTGTTTGGGTTTCTGATTATCACGTTCATTTCTGTATCTTAGTTCTGTTCCATGGTTTAATCAACCGGAACTGGTTTGATTTGTACCTTTGTCAAAAGCCTGGTATAGTAGTCAACATCTTTCTTGAGCTAAACTGAGACGTAATGTCTTAGTATATGTACATATACTTTTTCACCAAGCATCTGGACAAGTTTTTTAAAGTGCATTCATACTGTGAGCTGTGGCAAAACATTTGCTGCATAGACCAAAGGACCCATACTAGACTAGTCTAGCTGGCTGTGGTCATCAGTACATCTCTGCAGGCCATACTATTCTGAGGCCCTGCATGCATTTCATTTTGCTGGGTCTGCACCCACTGAGTTGGACTGAACAAGCATTACCTAATGGGAAAAAGGTTTCCAATGCCCACTTACAATTGGAGCATGATGTCATTGGATATACACTGATATAAGCAGAGAAACACCCGTACACTGACATGCAATATCCACATAAAAGCTCAAACACACAGTGGTGCAGCCATAAATCCTGGTCAGAGGTTATTTAATGCCCCCCCATGAGAATCTAGACACTTTCATTTAGATCACAGAGGCTATCTGACACTTTGTCCACAGGATACCTGATCCCCTGTGCTTGTGTCCAGAGGCTGTGATGCTTACTCATTCACCAGCAACATTTACTGATAGCACCTAAGGCAATGATCACAAGGTGGTCTATAATTTGACATGGGATTAATCAGTGTATTATAGCAATGGCTATTCCAGTGAGGTCATCAGTAGGTGATAAATCTGTGGTATTAATATGTGTCTTTCAGTATTAATTAAAGCTCTAATATGTGACCTTTATCAACTACCACAACACAAAATGTTTCAGGTCAGATGACTGCATTTTAGTTTTCTGTGCAGTTACTGATATCTCAGATGCCACTATGTGGTGTAAGACGGCCAGAATAGCAGAAAGTATGATGTCATACTATGATATTAAACTGGTGAAAGTTATTACATTATAAATGATTTAAACTAACCTCAAGCTTTTATGTTATATCATTGAAATCCTGTACAGTTTAAGTACTGAAATATTTATGGAGAGATACAAATAAAAAAAACACAACATTTATTGACTTTCTTCTCTCTTAAAGGCAATAGTGTAAGTGTAATGTGTCCGAATGTGTCTCAGCTCTTTAAAGACACAAAGCAGCTCTAAAATTTGCTGTGACGTTATTTCGTCCTCTGCTTTTTGTATTTATGTATTTAATGTCTCCATGAACATTCAGCTCCTATTTTTGTTTTAATAAATGTAATTTCAACATGTTAAATATGTTACATGTATGCATTGCTTTTGCAGTGGCAGTAAATGGTTAAAGTGCAGAATAGAAATTTTAATCTGCATTCCTCTCATCCTCCTTTAAATTGTCATTTGATGATACTACACTGTATATCTTTCTCCTGGCAAGCCATGACATATATTAGGGCAGATGGAATTTCTCCATCTGTATTTATTTAGATTGAATAGTGCATGTATAGAATTATACTCTTCTAATCCTCCTCAAACAACATTCCAAGTAAGTGATGCTACAAATAAAGTTTAGACTGTTAATATATACAGCTCTGCATGCTGACAGCAACAGTTTTGGTTTGTTTGAGGTAAATCCTGGGGGGCTGGGTGCATGGGTACATTAGGGTGATGTTAGGGAGTGGATGACAGTGTCTGTGAAGGACTGAGTGGCCTGCACCTTGAGTTTGGGGTCATTTGGGATAGATGCAATGAAGCATTGAGGAAAGAAAGGGATAAGAGCCTCAGGGATTAAACGACGAGTTGGAGTTGAAAAAAATGCACTAAAAATAACAAACTGTACTGTCCTAAACTGTGCACTTATCATGGTCACAGGATTATGGGTCCAAGATACATTAAGGTGTTTAATATATATCTTGCAACAGTCAGGGTTTTGTACTGTATTTGCTTGGCATGTATGGTACAAATGGAGGTAATTGGAAATAAATTATTAATGTTTAGTTTTCAGGCTGAGTTTAGACTAGAGGTGGGTTTAAAACTGTGCAGTGGGTTTTAAGTTACAGTTTAAAAGCCTGGTGTTTTGGTCGCTCTGACTGCTCTAAAGCCAGTCAGCCATCAACAAACATGTAACTCTACAATGTTGGGCCTCCAACACTCCACTGTGTCTGATGCTGATGATATGTGTAGACTGGTGTTCTGAATAATGTTGAGTACAAGTCTATTAATGAGATGATGATATGCCATAGTTATGCATGTGTTGTGGAATTTGGAGTCATTTCTATTTGAAGCATCTGAAGAAGAATACGCTGTTACTGCATTGCCAATATGCTAAAGTGGCTTAGATGCAACACAGGGAGTCTTCAATAGCTGCTGTCATTGTACAGTTATCACATCATTGAAAAATTCTCACAGGCCTGTCTGAATAAGTGATTGAGGAGCTGTGCATGTTGACTCAGCAGGCTTGTGTTGTGTTGTGTTGTCCCAGCTGGTCTCTAGGAGAGTGGGGGATGTGTAGCCGGAGCTGTGGAGGAGGAGAACAGATGCGCCAGGTCCGATGCGTCCAGAAAACCAGACAGGCCAACATAGACACACTGGCTGATTCTCACTGTCCCCAACCTACACCAGCCAGGGGACAAGCTTGCAACACCCATAGCTGCCCACCAGTTTGGACCACTGGACCATGGTCACAGGTAAAGCACGTATGAAAGAGAATATTCAGTATGCTTGCACCGATGTAAGTCAGTAAAGGCATACTGCTGTACTAGCAAAAATACCCACTGCAGGAAAAAACACTTAACAGCTGCACACTTGCCACTCAGCCTGAAGAGCTCCCCACACCCTTTTGTCAAGTGTATGTTTATATTGCGACATAAGAATTTGATTTAGACTGTGCTTTAATATGGGTACACATAAAAAAATGGAACCCATTTAAACCAACATTAATGTACAATTCTGCTGCTGATGTTGTGATTGGGAATGTTTGAGCATTTATATAGTGGTACATACAAATTTCATTTATCTATATAAAATTTTGCTCCTCCTTCAGTTAGCATGTTCCTTCCTGTTATTTTTAGAACTGTTGATCTACCAGTCAAAGGGGAAGAAAAGCATTTAAAAGCTTAAAATATCAGTGTTTCTCTTTATCTGGCAGTGTTCTCGCAAGTGTGGCAATGGCTTGAAAAAGAGGACAGTTCTGTGTATGAGCACCGGCCCAGGTACCCAGACACACACGCTTGCAGACACTTTGTGTGCAGGTCTGCCAAAACCTGACAGTCAAGAAACCTGCTTCATTAAACGTTGCCAGAAACAACGCAAGGTCCAGTGGTTTGTCTCAACATGGCAAGAGGTAAGTCTATGGTAGTTATAAAGATGAAAAATATGAACATTAAAATGAAAAAGAAAAGTAGTAGTAGTAGCAAAATTATTTTAGCTACTGTAAATGTTTTCTTTCTATGTTTTCTCTCTGTTCCATGTTTAGTGTTCAGTAACATGTGGTAGTGGCTATCAGGCACGGTTCATCAAGTGTGCAGAGAAGGTGTGTATTATACTGCATGTCCTTGTTTACTCAAATGTCAATTCCAAATGATTAAATAAGTAACATTAAACATTAATTGTGCCAGTTCACAGCTTCAAATTCTCATTTCTTCAAATCTTCATTTTTTGTAATGTAGGGTGTCCTTATATGAAATATATATATGGTGACATAGATTTTATCATAAACCCTAGTTTTGATTTCGATAATAAAGGACACCGCAGGTAAATATAGAGAGCTTGCTGCCAAGAAGTGCCACCATGTCCCCAAGCCCATAGTGGAGCTCCAAAGGCCCTGCATCCTGGCTATGTGCCCTGTCCGCACTACCCCAGCAGTCCACCAATGGAGCATGCATCATCGCATCTATCCAGCGCAGCCACCCCCTCAACCTCTGCTTCGACCAGAATGGCACTCCTCTCCTTGGTCTCAGGTAAGTTAACACAGAGCAAGATTTTATGGCTGAATATTGCAAGGAGCACAGTATAAGCACCGTTAATAGTTAACTTTGTAAGTAACAAGAGATGGGGAATTTAATGCAGTGTATGGCATTCATAGCATACATCATGGTTCTTTGTACTCAACAGTGCACAGTGACGTGTGGAGGAGGAGTGCAGGCCAGAACGGTCCAATGTCTGGCTGAGTGGAAACCCTCTCCTGGCTGTGCACTCCATGTTAAACCCTCAGTGACCCAGGCCTGCAACACCAACGTCTGCACACCATCTGACAAGAAAGGTACTGAAGCACTTACATAATCCAGTTTTGATGCTTGTATACAAAATAAACTGAAACCTGTAATCTGAAAAATCCTTGTCAAATTGCAACCAATCTTTTACCCGTCACTTTTTTCTTCTTTTCCACAGACATTACATGTAGGGATTATTTTAGCTGGTGTTACCTGGTGCCCCAGCATGGAGTCTGCAACCACAAGTTCTATGGCAAGCAATGCTGCCAGTCCTGTTTGAATTCAAACCTGTAATCATGCAAAGTAATTCTGTCTGCGTCACAGACAGATAGGTAGGTAGATAGACAAGAGACTGTATTTGACATCCATGCTTGAAAAGACTGTGGTTTTGCTTTAAGCCTGTGGTGAGCACTGATAAACAGAGGACTTTCAATGGAAGTGCAAGAGAGTTAACGTGCCCTTGTGATGCTGGACATCTGGATACAAGAACTCAGTGCTGACAGCACTACACAAGAATGTGATCAGAACAGAGAATTATCAGGAGGAACTAGCAAAATGGGAATCTTGATTAAAGCAAATGGGACCGACATGTCCAAAAGAAACTGTGAACCTGAAAAATCCCAGCTTTGTTCATATGCTGTATGCAAATGAACAGATCTGTACCCAGGACACCCAATATCTCCCAGTCAACCGAAGGCCAATGATGGCAGACCAAAAGAGAAAAATGTTAGACAAGGGTTCAGGCATTATCACACAACAACACAGGATACACCCTGGTGTGCACTGCAGTTCTTGATGAATCGGAAATCAGGGGTCTGATAATGAAAAGAAATTTTGCATAGAAGCAAGTAGGGGCACATTTTAATCTAAGGCTTGATAAAATACAGTCTATGCTTCCCCTTAAGCTGGACAAGAGTAGGATGTGTTGTCTGTGTTGTCATTAAAATGAAAAAAAAAATGCATCATACTTGAGAGAACTATTCTGAGATAGCTTGAGGCTGTGTGAACTGATTTATTCTGGTGCTACAACATTGTCTTTTGTCACCAAGTCAGTGTGAAATCTTCATGTTTCAGGAGAGGACCACTGAATTGTGTGACCCATGTACAGTATTGTTTGTTTTATTTATTGGCTTTACAATACATCATTGCTGGAGACTGTATTAATAAGCAGTATAAATTAGTCCTTTTATCTACCCTAAGTGCATTGCCGCTATATTTTGTATTCTGTTGCGTAGGGGTTGACACATACTGCCCTTCAAAATAAACCTCTTTACCAACAAAAGTAATACTCTCACCATTAACAACAAACATAAACCCACATCTCATATGAAACCTGTCATTTGGACAGTTAAAATGACCATGTCATTTTATAAGGGACTGCTCCATTTTTACATTACAGCATCCAAGGCAATCATGTATTGCATGCATTGATATGGCAGGGTTATGGTTTAAAAGCACTGACATATGTTGGGTAATGGTCATTCATTGTGATTTCTACAATGTAAATAAAATAAGTTTTTAAAAAATGTATGTATGTCTTGTTAGCAACTCGAATGCAGCATGAGTCCTGATTTCATTCTGCATTAATATGATGTTTCTAGCGGTGTAAGCTATTAAAACCTAAATGTCAAGAAAGGAACTTGATTTCTTCAGTTATCATCATGTCCAGGCAATGAATTTCTCTCTCAGCAAGCACATAATTAACATAATTAATGTCATTTCTACATTGGTTTTAATACAGAGCTTTGTAACTATCAGACTTGACTGCCGCAGTGATTGTCTCCTAATATGGTTTACTGAGCATGTTTCCAACAGTTCTTATAACCTTTTTAGTGTGTGATTGGTGCACGCTACTACCACACTACAGATTAGTATCACATGTCATATGTCATATTTTAACAATGAAACTCAAAAGAAATGTGATCTGGCATCTATGAAAACATTTTAAGGCCTAATGCTAAGATCTAGTTTTCATATGCAATGAAGTGCAGCGCATAAGCCAGCTCCCTGGCTAACTGTAATGCCAATGTAGTAAAGGACATTTCAACACCTATGACATATTGTGTCTGGTTTTATTCTTTAGTCAGTTCTCAACAAGTGAAGGAGACACAGATGCCCAAAACAAAATCACTATTGTCATAATCCCCTGGGACACAGTAAAACCCTAAGATGTAGAGGGAAGGAGGAGAAAAGAGTAAACAGAACAAGGGAGAAGGCAGGGGCATGTATGTACTGTATTTGGTGCTGTCATTAAAAAATGCTGTGAGAAAGAGAGAGCCAGGGGGAGAGGCGCTTATAGAGAGAAAAAGGGGATTTCCTCCTTGTCAGCCACCTTTGTAGTTGATTTATAGCTGGTCAGCTGTGGGCACTGCATTGCCCTCTCTGTGTTCCTGTGTGTATACTGTATATAACTGTGAGTAATAGTTTTTGTTTTGTTTTTTTGCCCCATAAGTGAATGTCTATATGACCTTAAGAGATGCAAACTGTTTTATTAATCCTCTATGCCATGAAATGTTATTTTAGGAAGAAAAAAAATATTTCACCCTAGTGTTTAGGAGCTTGGGGGTCCCGGATAATATATCAATCATAAAATCATAAAATGTGCTGCCCTACCTGATTTTGGTTTGTTGCCTCAGGGCAACAAGATGCTATGAGGGTACAAAAATGCCAAAGTTTTCTATATTATATAATAAGTGGAATGAGGAACAAACAAGCAATAAATACATTAGAAGAAGTTTTAACAACAATTTCAACAAATTTTATTTCAACAAACATCAACCACAAATGGTTTATCAATCAGTGGGTTAGATTAGCTGCAGTGTGTGTTTGTGTTTCAGAATGTGTGTTCCCTTGGATTACTGATTGAATCAGTGTTTCTCTTTTTTACAAAGCTTTCTGTGATATATGACTTGAACGTGTAAAGCTTCATCTGTTCTTCTTTTCTCATCCCAGTCTGCTGCAGTCTCTCTTGTAGAGCAGCCAGGCAGTCATGAAGGTCATATCGATAAAATGGAACATCAGCCGGTGGTACCACTTCTTTGACCTGATTTTGTTGCGGTACAGTGCAATGAGAGAATCCAGCAGATCCACCCCACCCATATTCTTATTGTACTCTCTCACCACAGCACGACAGGGGACTTTGATAATTTTCTTTAGTTTGCCCTCCCACCTATCAACCTTGGTGACTGGGAGTGCTCCAATGTAATTACTGAGAAGACTGAGTGAACGGTTATCATACCACTTCACAGCATGCAAGGTGGTTTCTCCAACCATGTCTGTCTTCTGTTCAAAAGATCCACATCCAGTTCTCTTCAACTCAGCCTCACACATCAAGTTGACACCTGGCAGTCTGTTGCTATGAACAGTACTAGTACAGTGAATTCCCTGTTGAACAAGTGTGAGTATGAGAGGGACACTCGTGAACCAGTTGTCAAAGAACACCTTGTAGTTCTGCTGCGTGAGTACTGGCTGGGCCAGGTGGAAGATGGCTTCAGGAAGTGTTTGCATAATATCTTTTCAGAAAGTGTTACCAATCACATTTGTGATCTCCTCAGTGAAGTACTGTCTGCTATTTTCTACAAGGTTAGAAAAGGAAACGCTGCCCCTCTGTGGATATACTGGGTGCTTACCAGATATAGTGTACAGGAATCTTACCCTGTGGAAAACAGGTTGAACAAGTTAAAAGGTACCATATCAGAATAAATGTAAAAATAAGTGACTTAGATGTGCCGAAATGAAATGTAAGCTGGAAACAGGAATGACCTGTCAATCAACAATCAGTTTTGGATGGATGTTTGTGTGATTTGGTGTGTGACAGAATCATGGATTTAATCAAACTCATGATTGGATATTTCCCTTGTACCGTTAACTAGGAGTGGCAGCTACAGCCGTAAAGTTACCTTCCCCCCAAAAAAGGCTACATGAAGTAACATGCTGTGGGACACTAATTGTGAATTTTAACAACAGAGATCAGAGAATGTAGCCCTTTTTACAATTAAACAATATCGTAACTATCGTAACCCCCCACCCCCCTAATTCTGCCTCAGCTGGTTCAATGGTGGTGCAAACCAGCTCCTCCGAGGTTTTTTCTCTTATCTGTGCTGTAGTAGTTTCAGTAAAGGGCATAACAACATACTGAATATTCCCTCCACAGCTTGGACTGACGTTGAGCAGTAGCTGCTCATTCAGTTCAGCAGCCTCTCTCTCATCAACACCTTCCATACCAACTTTCCACGTAGTGACCATCATTTCTCTGTGCGCTCCGGTCCTAGAGAATCGATCTGACACTTAAACACAATCATTAGTCCACAAAATAACACATTAATGCAGCTCATGAGGCATGATAAATAAAAATATGTTGTACATGTCCAGATGATGTTACGGGAATTACTGACAGCAGGTCAGGCTGTGCAGGGTGTTACAACCTAGAAATATTTTATGTCTTTTGTATCTGGGGACAGGTTTGTTTCGCATTTTGCATACGCTGTTGCCCAGCAATTAGTAGGATTGGTTCGTTGTTTTGTGGGGAAAAGAGGAGGGGTGAGCATGTTGGTGTTAAAAAAAGCGACAAGTGTGGGGAGATTCCGTGAAAAGGAGTGAGGAGAACTCCAACAAAATCGGCTAATAAAAGTTGCCAGAACCAGACAAAGCCTCAAGAGTCTTGTCTGTCCAGGGGTGAAACAAAGGCTATATGTTAGAAATGATGTGATCCACTCCCTGCCATACGATGTCATATTATAAAGCTCATTGGGCACATCACGCTAAGAGGACAGGCTTTTGTAGAAAAGGTAAATTCACTAAATCAAATTATAAATTGGACCCTAGTGTAGTTAATTTATAGCATAACAATTGACTTTTGTGTCTGGCAATCATAGCTTCAAAAATCATAAAGGTGGAGCTCACTTGTTAAGATTATCCCGATGAACAAAACGTTTTTTAAGTGTCATAAACTACTGGTTTGTCACACATTTTATTTTCCGCAATAATCAAAAAGGTTATGGAAAAATCCCACTGGCTTTTTATTAAAGGGATTATGGCGATGCTAACTTCCGGTTGGGCCTACAATGCATAAGTCATTCGCTGAGGGCGCCTAGCAAAGGTTGCTAAGATACTTATGTAAGTAACAGGTTCCTTTGTTGACAACTTCCACGTTTACTTAAATCTACACTAAAAAAATATTCGGGTAGTTTGGTTCTTTTTAACTAGACACATTCACAGGAATAACTAGCCAATTTCAAAGACATTACCTTTGTAAAAGAACTAACATGGATACTGAGGGTAACCAGAATTTAACTGTGGAACAGCTTCGCTCATGGACTCAGTCCAGTGGTTCTGGAAGCCATGAAACCTTATCAGGTCAACCTGAGGAGAAGCAGCCAGGCTGCTCCTACCAGGTTAACATGCTAGCAAATGAGGTGACTACTGCAATGGACGATATGAGAGAGACAGATGCTACTGCTCAGGAATTCAGCTTTGAATGTTCCATCAAAGAAGATAGCAGAAAACTTCAAGAGAAATTTGCTAAGCAGTTTGCCAAAGTGTTAATTTATCATATCATGTTAGAGCTACAACACAAATT